ATTTGTGCAACTCTTCCTCACTTAAATTCAACTCAGATGCAAGTCAAGACATCATCCATTATCCACTATTTGTGATGTCATTGGTTATTTTCAAAAGCAAAGGATGAACAATAACAACACTTGGGTTTATCCAGTGTGATAGCTTTAATAAGTTTTTTAACACATTGACCAACAACAGAGTTGTGGTCTGTTTTACATTTTTCATGACACATTATTTGGCTAATAAGACTTCCTCCACCACCACCACCACGTAGCTACATCTATTCTCATTTCTATGCGGGACCTGGATTCCAGACCAACCATTGGTACATTATAAAATAGCTTATGTTAGATTTTAGGATTATGATTCAATAGTGAATCATCTTCAGGAAAAAATCTTTGAGGTATGTCAATTACTAGTTAAACAATAGGGAAATGATGCAGTCTATCCCAGCAGAGAGCCAAGATTCTATGCTACTGTGTCTTAAACACACACACACACACACACACACACACACACACACACACACACACATACCTTTCATATAAACAGCTTCTTTTCCTACAGGGAAATGCCATTTATATGTAAATAACAATTAATTTTAGTGCAGGATTTACAGCAGGTATTATGCTGGGCAGGAGGTTTAGATCCTAATGTCTTTCCCAGCTGTTAATTTTTCCTTTCAAAGAGCTTTGTGCTTTGCATAGATATGTTCCCTTGAAGAAAAGTAAACCGAATCAAGAGTCAAATGGATTGGGAATATCTAAACACTTTGGTTGGAAATGCACTCATACAGTATTCTAGTAGAGAAATTGGCTATTTAAGAGAGTATATCTTGGCAAAGGACAGTTATGAGACAATCAACGTTCCCATGGTATTTTAAAGGAAGCAAGCACCTGGAAACTTTCCTAGAAGTTATCTAGATGGATTGAGTGCAGTATAGGATGATGGGTGGTTCTTGACAAGGTTCAATTAGCTCTGCCCAAATCAGATTATACATATACCTTTCTCACTCCTTCTATCTTCTCTCATTGAGACATGGCTCCCTCCCACTCTTTTCAGTGTTAACTATATACTATTTCTCATAACCTCCCCCCAAATTTCTTGGTCATGGTGGAGGAATTGGAATGCTCCTTGCTCCCCATTGCCACTTCCAGGCCAGGCTATCCTACAACATTTCACTAAGTATCACTCCTTCTTTGAGGTTCACATTATCCAAATTTATCACCCAATCCAAATCCTGATGATTGATATTTGTAGACCCCCTAGGGCATTCTCCTTTCATCAATGAGTTCTGTGCCTAACTACAGTATTTCTCTCTTCCCAATACCTATTAGATACCCTAACCTCTCAGTTCCTCAATTCTACTATCTATTGCTCCACCTCAGCTACACAGAGATAGTTACGCTCTTGACTTTGTCATCATCCACAGTGTTTCACGTCCATATTAACAAACTCCAAAATTCCTTTGTCTAATCATAATCTTTCATCATTCCATATTTCGCTGTCCCTTACAACCCACATCCCTGTTCTTCATCCTTGTCCTGACCTCCATTCCCTCTAACTCCCAGTTGTTCCCCAGGTTAACACCCCTGCACATATTTTCTTCCCTACCCTATCTCAACTGCTTGGTGAATCAGTTAAACTCTATTATAACCATTATACTTAAACCCATTGCCCCCATGTTCATTGCTGATTATGTCTTGCCAAGTTCTAACTTTGGATTGCTCCCACCATCTACTTCCTTCACTCCTGCTCATGTACTGCTAAATGGAGCTGGAGGAGATAAAGAAACTATTCTGATTAAATGTACCACAAACTTATTACATAATCTCAACTGGGCCCTCACTAGACCACAGCACAATCATTTCAGTTTGCTAATCTGTTTCCCTAATCACTTTGCTGTCTTACTCTCCATAGTAACTAATCCAAACCTTCTCTCTCCTAAAACCTGTCTCTTTCTAAAGCCTTTTCTCCTTGCCTAGGTAAAGCTTTCTACTTGCACCCTTGATCTTTCCCCTTCCTGGCTTCTCCATAATATTGTTCCCACTATCATCCTCACTCTCTTTCTTATCTTCATTCTTTCCAGATCTACAGGCTACTTCTCTGCTTCCTACAAACATGCCTATGTCTTCTCCATCCTTGAAAAATTCCCACATGATCTGACCATTAGTTACCATTGATTATTTATTCTTCCCTTTCATGCTCCCTAACTATGGATGTTCCCCACAATTCTGTCCTTGGTTCCTTTCTCTTTTGATCATATGCTTTCTTTTGACTGTATACCTGGTGTGGTGTATGGGGTGTTCAGGGAGGACTAGCACCTTGGATGTGAGGACTTGCTGTGCCCTTTCAGGGCTGCTCATTCACCTCTGGTATCCACCTGTCACCCAACTCTGACCTTCTCAAGGAGTGCTAATGGTTCCTTACTACTCCCAGAATCAAATATAACTTGCTCTGTTCGGCACTTAGAGCCCTTCACAACCTTGCCCCTTTTCTCCCTCCCAGTCTTGCCATACCTTACTCTGATCCACTCTAGGATCCAGCTACAACGGCCTGCTTCCAGTTCCTTAAATACAACATTCCTTTTGCCATCTCTGCCTATGGCTTGCCTAGCTGAATGTCCCCAAATACTCTGCCCTCTTACCTCTGTCTCTTAATTTCCTAAGATTCCTTCGGACTTAACTCAAATCTGCAGAAGGCCTTTCTTGGTCATAAGTACCAATGCATTTCTCTTTCTGTTTAATTTCAACTACTTGGTACATATTTAAAACATATCTAAATATTTGCGTGTTATCTCTTGCCTTAGAATATATGTTCCTTGAGAGCAGGGATTTTTCTGTGTGCCTTTCTTTGTATCCACATCATTTAGCAGAATGTTAAATTTAGTGGTGCTTATTGACTGATTTAACTGATTCAATATGGAAGAGCAGAGCAGGGACAGATTAAACCAAAGGGGACATAGAAAGAATCCTAATTTTCAATGATTTATTAGCTACCAAAAACTATTAAGTATGGACATTCCTTATTGAGTAGTTTAATTCTTTGATGCTTTGATTTTTTTTCCTTTTTTGGCAATTGGGGTTAAATGACTTGCCCAGGGTCACACAGCCAGTAAGTGTCAACTGTTTGGTCTGAGGCTGGATTTGAACTCAGGCTGGTGCTCTATCCACTGCGCCACCTAGCTGCCCCAAGAGTAGTTTAATTCTTTAAACATTTAAGTACCTAATGGGTCAAAATGCTGGGAACAATATAAAGTTAATTGAAACATGGTTCTCACCCTAATGAAACTTATAGTCAAGTACTATCATAGTTCACATTTACATAATTCTGTAAGATTTATAGGGCAATTTATAATATGTGATTTGGTCCCTACAACAACACTATGAGGCAGGTACTACAAGTGTTATTAGCTTATTTTACAAATATGGAAACATACAAACATAGGTACATATACGTGTACACAGACACATCATTGCATGTATCCTTATTCATTTCATAGTTACCATCGGTAGGTAAAATGTTAAAGGCAGCATTCATGTTTCTCCATGCAACCTGTTCAAAGCAGTGCTACCAGAATCTTTTGGATTATCTTTAATAAAACAAAACAAAACAAACAAACAAAAACAGATGATTTTGCTCTAGCAATAACATCATGTACTTAGAGGGAAACTCTAACTTAGTACAAACATTCAAATCTATCACAAATTGTCTGGAATTGAGGATATAACAGAGACCCTGAAGATACGCAAGTGTTCCTGGGAAAAAAAATTGAAATTAATTAAATTACAAACCTATCCTAGTTTCTCACCATGGAAGAGCTGAAGGGAAATACAGAAGAGTATTACCTGATGATGTTTTAACTTGCGTTTCCCTAATCAATAGTGATTTATAGCATTTTTCCATATGACTATAGATAACTTTAATTTCTTCATCTGAAAACTGCCTGTTCACATCCTTTGACCATTTATCAATTGGGGAATAACTTGTATTCATATAAATTTGACTCAATTTTCTATATATTTTAGAAATGAAGCCTTTATCTCTCTGATTGATTCTTAACAGTCATGATGTTACTGTCCGTTTAAAAGCCAAGTTGCCCAGGCGTCAATAAATTACTTAATCGCTAATAAGGAAAATATGCTAATAGATCCCCTAACTGAGGAGATTGTATGAAGCATTGATGTAATCAATGAGCAGGGTCTTTAGTATTGGATATTTCTGTCGTGGAAGCAAAGGTTCCTAGGCAGCATGATTAAAAGGATGGTCATATTCACAAATCAGATCTATTTTTGATCTTTCAAAATTGCTATCTTTTGTTTTTACATCACCTTCAATTTTAAATAAATCCCTTCTCTTTTTCCTACCCAGAAAACCATCCCATGCAACAAAGAATAAAAGAGTATGAAAGATACAAATTATGCACAGTTAATCAACATGTCAGTCGTTTCTGACAGTCTTTACAATATTCCACACCCACCATCTTTCATCTCTGCACAGAAGTGGTATGTGAGGGCATTTCCTCAACTCTTATCCTTGGTTATTGTAATTGCACTGTATTCAATTTCTTTATTTTTTCTTTCCATTTATACTATTATAGTCATTGTATATACTATATTCTGGGTCTGCTTACTCCGTTATGCATCAGTTCATATATTTCTTCCAATTCTTTGAATTCTTCATATTTGTCATTTCTTACATTGTTATAATATCCCATTACAATTGTGCATCACAATTTGTTTAGCCAGGCCCAAACAGATGAGTTTTTACCTGTTTTTTATTTTCTGCTAATATAAAAAGTACTTCTATGAACATTTTTGTTACATGAGAAATTTCCCTCTCCCCCTATTTCTGACCTCCTTGGGGTATATGCCTAGCAAGGGGATCTTTGGGTCAAAAGGTACACACACACACACATGTTAATATACAAATGGTTCCAATGGTTCAAGCTTGTAGTCATGACCATTAGAATCTATCTGTAATTCTGATGTCACAGAATTCTCGGGGTGTCTGGACAAACATGGAGGCTGATGGAAGGGAATCTGAGAGGAGGTTCACTGCAGATTCCCTGCTGGTCTGGAGGCTGGTGCCTTTCTTTGCCTCCTGCACCTTTTACTTCCTCCTCTGGTTGCACTCTCAGGAGCCCAGCTGGACCAGCGCCCTGGCCAAATGCCTTCCCATCCACTTTCTGGCTCTCTTTGTCCACAACACCACCCCACTGGGGCCCTATGGCCAATTCATCCGGCTAGGTCTCCTCTGCTCCATCCTGGGGGACCTCTTCATCACCTGGCCCGACAAGTACCTCGTTGGCATGGTAGCCTCTGCCTTGGCTCATCTCTTCTATCTCAAGGCCCTGGGTGGGCTGCCGACATGCCGGACCTTCCTGCAGTCTGTGATGATCATCTTCCTCCTCTGTTTTGGACTCCTGCAGCCTCACCTGCCTTCCCACCTGAGTCTCCCCGTGGTGGTCTATGCAGCTATCCTGTGTCTGATGCTGTGGCGGGCGCTGGTCCGAGGGAGATCTGCGGCAGTTAGTGGCCTGTTCTTTAGCATCTCGCACGCCCTCAGGGTCTGGACCACCTTCGTCTGTCCCCTGCCTGAAGGCCATCTGATGGTCATGGTCACCTACTACACTGCCCAAGCCCTGCTGGCTCTGTCAGCAGTGGAGGGCAGGGCCCCCCAACACTGACCGAGCTCCACGAGCCCTCCTCACAAAGACAGCAGACCAGTGAGTTGGAGCTCAGCACTCGGCCTCTTCTCCAGACCCCTCCTGCCTGCTCATCACCTTCTGGAGCAGCCGCCCACCCCACACCCTCCTGGTGCTTGTCTCCCAGTTATTCACAATCTCTCCCTTTCCTCTGCTTTTGCTCCCTTACCTGCAAATGCACCACCCCTCCCCAGCCTCAATCTGATGCTTTTCTCGTCCTTAATCAAAATCACTTTGGTTCTAATACTACCCCCAACATTGCCCATGAGCCCCTCAACTGAAATTTTTTTCTCCTCATTACCCACAATTCTCTCCCCCCACAATTCTGATTCTTTTCTCTGTTACCCACCATCCTCCTGATTTGAATGCTGCTTCTCCTCTCTCCATTACCCACCAAGTCCCTAGATGTGATGCCTGTCCCTCCATTATCAGCAGCACCACCACTTTCCCCTGACCCTTACTAAAGTTGATATTGGAAACATGAAATATATATATGTAATATACAGATATAAATATATAATATGTGTGTGTGACTTTTTAAGCATTGCTTTCACATTGCTTTCTAGAATAGTTTGGTCAGTTCATAATGCCACAAATAGTCTATTATTTTGCTTGCCTTCCTGCAGCTCCTCCATTTGTTTAGTGTATTTTCAAAGCCAATTTTTGACTCTTCAATTCATACCGTACTTTTCTCTTTCCCTAATTCTAGACTATTCTTTCTATTGCTTCCTCAGCAGTTGCCAAAATATTTTCTTAGGAACTATTAATTATTTCTAAACTTTCCCTCTGATACATCTTCTCAATTCAGTGCTCATAATTTTTCATGTTGTGCTCCCTGGGAAGTGGCTGCTACTTCAGGTTTAATGGTATTTTATGGGTCTGCACTCCTAAAATTATAGCTCATAAGTCCCCACCAATGTGCTTACTTGTAGGAAGTAACCAGTAGACACAATTAGCTTAAAGCAAAGACACTTACAAATGGTAAGAACATTAGCTATACAATAAACCCCGGGTGTACTCTTTCATAAACACAGAGTATCAAGAGTGGGTACACATTTTGAGTGCTTTGGTAGTGTGGCATAGATAGAGGAACATGTGTAGCCAAGATAAACAATGCATCCAATACTGCAGGGCCCTCATGCCTTTTCTTCCTCCTGGGATCAGCACTTCTGTGGGTCATGTCTCTCAGCTGGTTCTCCTAGGTTTTCTTTTTTCCACAGCTGGATTACACCGCCAGGACTAATTTTCTCTTGCATCTAGTCAGACCTTTTATCGCCAGAGGTCAGCCTAAAACTGGATTACTAGTTTTTCATCTATTGCATCTGCAAACACAATCCCTTAATTTTCACCTACAGAAATCCTTCTTTTGTTTCATGGGCCACTCCCTCCACCGAGACTTCCCTGATCCCTCCAGCTAAAAGTGTTCTCTCTCACCTCAGATTTTATTAGAGTACTGTCCCTTGCCGTTACCACTTTCTGGCTTTTTTTTTTATGGAACTTCTACCAATATAAGACAATACTTTTCTTTGCAATTTTTGTTTATTTATTTATGTATTTATTTGTTTTTGTTTGTTTTTCTCTTTATCTACCTATCTATCATCTATCAATGAGAATGGGTTTCTCACTCTAACTTGCTCAGGCTGAAAGGACAGTGGCCACTCTTAGGCCTGATCCCATAACTGATAAGCATGAAAGCTTCAACTCACTTCCCTTTCAACCTGTACTGGTTCACTCCTTCTCAGGCATCTTGGTGACCCCCTGCTCCTGGGAGCTCACCATGTTAGTGCCAGAGTTACTGTGGACGCCTGATTAGCTCTAGCCCTTTTGCAGCTCTGAACTCCTATAATCCATTAGCCCTAGTCGCAGGAATTATAGAAGTGTGCCACCACACCTGGCCTCTACAATTTTAAGTCTACAGAGTTACCCTGGACACTAAAAAAATTACAGAGGTTCACAGAGCCTGTGTATATCAAAAGGCAAGCCTTGAACCCACCTATGCCTATGAGGCAGGGTTTCCATCAAATGTGCCGCAATGCCTTTCTGTTCTGACCTGTTTCATACCTGTTTGTATATATACTATACCCCCTTCCATCACTTAGATTAGAGGACCTTAAACCATTTCTATGCTCGCTTAGGACCCCTTTGCAGTCAGGTGAAGCCAGACTTCTCACAATAACGTTTTTTTAAATGCATAAAATAAAATACATAGGATTATAAAGGAGAATTTGAAATATAATTATAAAAATATTTTTAAAGCAAGTTAACAGATCCAGGTTAATAATGCCTGCTGTAGATTATAAAATTCTTGAGGGCAAGGATTATGTGTGTGGTCGGTTTTTTTTTTAATCATGTTTAGTACATAAGATGCACTTAATATGAATTTTTTTAATAAGGTAAGGATAAAATTTCTTCCTAGAGTTCCTCTCAACTATACCTTCAGCTTTCCACCAATTCTCCTTAATATAAACATCATCCCTATGAAATAGGGAAGGAAAGCTACTATTCCTAACTTCCAGTTAGAATATCCAAGGTATAGAGGGTTTAAGTTATACAGTATGTCACAAATGGAGTTGACTAAAACTCATCTTTTGCTTCTGACTCTAGTGTCTCTTAAATTAAATTATATTCTGCACATCAGGAGGAAAGAATAAGAAGAGAAAGGGAATATCAATGTTGTTCTCTACTACTCTGCCCCAGGAGAACTAAGATCTGTGTGTCTTGAAGCTCTGCTCACTGTTTCCAAACTTTATTGTTCTGGTTGGAACTGAATGGGCATGGGGTGGGTTAGTATAACTTTCCACCCCAATGCAGAAAGCTAACTGTATGATGATGTTCCCTCTTTGTTAGCTTGCTCCTCAGCGCCCCCTGAGGGATGGAGGCAGCATTACATTGTACACATCCACACTCCATTCGAGATCTAAGAACCAGCTGATATGACCTGCCCCCACCACCTCGTGTTGTTTCAAGGGACAAGTCAGTTTTAAATGAAGAAGGTGTTATCTTATAACATCATAACTAAGAACTTGGGGCAAATTCAGTCATTCTTGGGGCATTCAGAGGACAGTCCACCCGGGGGTCAGGTGTTGACAGGCCCAAGGGTTGTAGAGTTGTCCCATTTCTCAAAGAGTTTGATTACAGATTGCGTTCCACTCCCCACCTGCCTTTGTTTTAGCACAGCCAATGAATCTTGATACCATCCATATTAATTGAAGGAGGTACGAAGGTATCAGTAGACAGTGAGGAAGAAATTGGGGGAAAGCAGGCCATGTGAGAGTGGTATAGGGTGGGGAGCTTTTGCTAAAAGATGCAGGACCAATGGTCTTGAGGAAGAAATGTGCCCCTTGGATACTGGCACCCAGAAATAAAGCCCTGGTCACTCTGATCTATTTACAACTCTGCTACCTTGTTCACAACAGAAATCTATCTTCTCAGGCTAATCATTTCAATCATTAATCAATCAATAAGCATTTAATAAGCTTCTACTATGTGCCAGATATTGTGATAGCCTCTAGGGATACAAATTTAAAGTACAAAGCAATCCCTGCTTTCCAGGAGAATGCATTCTAATAAGGGAGACACCAAATTCTTACATATTTGCTAGTTTCACAGGGGGAATCATAATTTAGTCTGGTCATTGGTTGAACAGTGCTGACTCTTCTGAGAACCACTAACTCATCTGCCCCTACATTTGTGCTTCTCAACTGTATGAGATGATCATAATTTTTATCAGAACTATAGTGATGCCTTCCTAAATCTGAACTTGTAGAAGGCCCAGAGAGGCTAGTAGGGTTATTACACTGTGAGGTGTGTTTATATCCTAGGATTCTCTTTGGCTGAAACACAAGGAAGAAAAGGCATTGCCTCTGGGCAAATATCTTCTTTCATTATTTGAAATGGTTATTGGTAAATGGTGTCTACAAACGTTTTCACTTGGAAAGCCTATTTCTGAGTCATTGCCTAGATCACGCAGTCTTCCCCACTGTCCCCAGCCCCTAGCCCCCAAAAAATGCTGTGCTGAAATCTAAGTATACTATGACTACAGCATTATGCTTATCAACCAGCCTAACTACCCTGTCCAAAAAAAAAAAAAAAAGGAGGAAATGAGGTTAATCTGGCATGACCTGTTCTTGATGAAGACATCCTGGCTTTTAGTTATCACTGTTTTCTTGTCTAAATGCTCACAAACCACACTTCCTTAACAGAATCACAGAATCCTGTAGTTGGAAGGGACCTCAGAGGTCTAGGATTTTACATAGGATTTTAATCTAGAATTTTTATTGTGCTCTAGGAATAAAATGTTGCACTCTTTGGCCTATAGTTTGCATACTCCATTTTCTTTCTTCCTTCTATTCTTTCTTTCTTTTTTTAATAAAATTGGTACATTTGCCCTCTCCCATCCTCTGGGGCCTTTGCCATTCTTTATTTTAAGAGATCAATCACATTTGTTAGTTCCTTGAGTATCTTATGATATATTTCATTCAGACCTGGAAACTTGAATTCATTGAGAACAGCTAAGTGCTGTGTTGTGAAGAGTAATGTCAGTCAAAAAACAATTTATTAAGTGCCTAAAAGAAAAACAAAAGGATGGTGAGGAGTTGAGTCCAATGATAAGTAAGGTGATAATAAACTAGTATTACTACTTAGATTTATTAATAAGTTGTTATCATTATTAAAATATTATCACTTCATATCATTGGCCTCAATTCCCTGTTAACCCTCTTTTTTTATGTTTTAATGTTTAAAGATCATTTTTCTTGGAATAGAAAAAAGAAAGAAAGTAAAGCTTGAATGAACTATTTTGTCCATTCCCATCATATGTCCCGAGAAGTGTCCCTGTCTTATTTCTCATTCTACTCATATACTCAACATTGTTAACACAATACTTTTTATTCTTAGAATTCATCTTCAGCCTTAACATATTGTGGGCTTTAGCACGGCTGACATTCTTAAAGGACTGTACTACTTTTTTTTTCCATTTGCTA